TGCGCTTCCTTGTCCACAAATGCGGAAGTCCTGCGCAGAACCATATAAATCAAGGGCTTGGCCATTTTCACCATATTTTGAGTTTTAGACTTTGGTTTTTTGAGAAATTTCGTAGGTTTTTCAAGAAAATCGATTCGGTAAGTGTCCTTTATTTTTATCATTTAATTTGTGTTTAGAGTTGAGGAAAATGGGGATTTTTGAAGAGAACTTTCGAAATAAAAAATCATGATTTGAGGGGGAAATTGGTATCGCAATTTGATAATTTTTGTATGTTGAACTCGTGTCGGAATGGGTGTCCGGGTTTTGAGAAATTTGTCGGGTTTCGAGGTGCGGGCCCGGGGGTCGATTTCTAGATTTTGATAAAGATTGATGCTTTATTATCCGGATTAGTTTCTTATGAGTTTTATTTATGCTTTGAAGTTATTTTGACTAGATTTGAGCCGTCCGGAAGTCATTTCATCCGAGGAGTTCATTTTAGAGTGTCGGCCTGTCTTCTTAGAGGTAAGTATCTTGCCTAACTTCGTGTGGGAAAACTACCCCTTAGGATCTGAGTCTTCTATGCTAACTGTAGTCCGTGTAAGCAAGGTGACGAGTACGTGCTCGGGCTTATTTGTGGAAAGTTGGCCTTTTAGGGTCGTAGGTTCTTGTATTCACTGAGAGTGAAGTTGTTTTGTTATGATTAAGTTTTTCTTAATTGCTAGTTTCACTCAATCTGCTTTAATTGGGATTAATTGTTTTATGATTCACTCATATTGCTTATTTGACTCTTATTTGATTAACTGAAGATTTTTACCTCTTCTATTGTCAAGCTTTCTTTTCACAATTGCTTGTCTTTATTTGAAATTATTATTATCTCTCCTGTAATTATTTAGTTTTAGTTGAGGTTATGATTATCTTTCCGCTCCTTATCCTTAATTGAATTTTTTGTATCTTCTTCGTAATTGCCCAACCTTAAAAGAAGTGTAGATATTCTATATCTTAGCTGACATGTCCTTATTTGGATTCATTTGACTCGTGTTAGCTCCCTTGTTGTTGAATTGTATACTGTGGGATCGTTGTTACATATTATTATCTCCCTTGTTGAGCTGTTCTTATTATGCCTAGTGTTCTCTATTGTGGTTATTCCTTGTGAGCTATTTCTACCGTTTCTTTGTGATCGAAAGTTTTTGAGTTGATTTACTTGCCGTACACTTGTATTTATTGTCTTTCTGGCTGATGTACTTGTTGTTGTGATGCACGAGGTTTTTTGCCGTGCGGTTGTTATTGTGATGCATGAGGTTTTTTGCCGTGCAGTTGTTATTGTGATGCACGAGGTTTCAGCCGTGCGGTGTTATTGGGTTGCACGAGGTTTCTGCCGTGCTATTATTACTATTGATATTTGCACATGCGGCGTGACAAGGCGGGCTATATATATATATATATATATATATATATATATATATATATATATATATATATATATATA